TATATATATATATATATATATATATATATATACAATTATCAATGTTATAAGTTGGTTGGAGTTCCACAGCTCTCAGTGAAGCCAAACAAAACATCCATCCATCCATTATCCATCCATCCATCCATCCATTATCTTTACCCGCTTATTCCATTTTGGGTCATGGGGGTCGCCGGTGCCCATGTCCAGCAATCACTGTGCGAGGGGCGGGGGACACCCTGGACGGGTCGCAAGTCCATCACAGGGACACATAGAGACAAACGAGACAAACAAACATTCTCTCTCTCACTCACACCTAGGGACAATTTAGAGTTACCAATCAGCCTAACATGCATGTTTTTGGTCTGTGGGAGGAAACCGGAGCACCCGGAGAAAACCCACGCATACACAGAGAGAACATGCAAACTCCACCCAGAAAGGCCCCTGGACCGGGGTTTGAACCAAGGACCTGCTCACTGAGAGGCAGCAGCTCTACCAGTTGCACCACCGTGCTGTGATCTGGTCCTGTAAAAGTAGAAATCAAAATACAAATACTTTTCCAAAATTGAGTCAAGAAGGGGCAAGACCAAAATAAATGAAAGACATCTTCTGGGTTTTCATCGCAAAAAGAGCTAATTATATTTATATCCTTGTTAAACCGTTGTAAATAGATTTTGGATGTGTAAAATCTGTGAATAATTTTGAATGATACTTCTCTGGCTTTATTATTTATTGTGTATCTGGTTGGTAAAGTCCAAATCCTTTTCCAGTTAAGGTTATTAATAAAGTTGTTCCAATAAGGTACAAATACCACATATGGAGATGACAACATCTTTCTGAAATAGTGAACGTATATGACGGTTGCTGTTATGGGTTGAGGAGAAGCAGATTTGACCAATTTCAAGTTTGGTTGGATCAAAGGGTAACAGTGTTGGATTCTGTCCTGCTGTACTTCTATGTAAAATAATTACTCCAGTAGGGATTGCTTTTGTTACAATATTAAATTCGTTCATAGGGATCATAATGTTATATTTTATGACAAATTCTTGATATGACATTAATGATCCATCAAGGTTTAGCAACTGACGAACTAAAATTATGTTGTGAATAAACCAATTGGGGTAAAATAAGGATTTGTTTTTATGCAAGATGTCTCTATTGTTCCAAATATAATATCTGTGTGGAGAGAAATGATGTTTGTAAATCAATGACCAAGAGAGAAGCATCTGTTTATGAAAACTGGATAGTTTTGAGGGAACTTTTTCAACATTATAATTGCAAAATAGAAAGAAATTTAGGCCTCTTAATTTAGAGAAAATAAAGTTTGGTATGAAGTTCCAAACTGAAGATGGGTTCTTGATAAATTGTTTTAGCCAATTTATTTTAAATGTTATTTAAGGTGTAAAAGTCCAAAAAGTTGAGGCCACTGTTGAATGGATTGTAGCGCAGAGGTGCCGGCGTTGCAGAGACACAGAAACAAGTGAGTCGTTGGGTCTCTTCAGCCTCTTTCTGGCATATTTATTGAAGACCTTCAGTGCTGTACGCACACAGCTCGTGTTCACAGAACGCCATTTTGTCTTCTTCTCTCAAGACGTAATAACGTAACACACGTACATACCAGAAGTATACAAAATAAAACACACCAGTAGGTGGCAGTATTAGAACACATTTTTGAGTAAGAGCGTCAATAACAAGAACGTTTAACACCCCCACTCTCTTGTAACTCTTTTGTTAGTCCTGAAAACAAACAAACAAAAAAAACCATAAGGTCTTTCTTACCAGAAATGAAAATGTCTCTGCATATTTATGTTCAAAATTCAATTCAATTCAATTCAAAAATACTTTATTAATCCCAAAGGGAAATTATTTGTTGTTGTAACTCGTTATCCTCATTTCATTAAGAGATGTTATAGATACTGATGGCTGTAGGCAGGAAGGATCTCTTGTAAAGGTCCATCCCACAGTGGATCCTAAGAAACTGGCTGCAGATGCCGTCCGATCCGTCCACCCAGACTCGGCTGGCCTCTCAGTTCCCCCAGGCTGTAGGACCGCCCGAATGCCGGGCAGAACTCCTCCTAGAGCGATGGTCACTCCTCCCAGCAGTCTGCCGAGCTCCTCGTCGCTGCGGACAGCCAACTGTAGGTGCCGAGGGACGATCCTGTCCTTCCGCTGTCATGAGCCGTGTTTCCTGCTATTTCCAGGATCTCAGTGGTCAGACACTTGAGCACAGCTGGCAGGTAGATGAGAATCCATCCAAACATGCCCTGAGTAAATTTTGTCAGTTTCAACTTAGTAGCAGGTTTTGTCATCAAATCTGCAATCATTTTATCAGTTGGACAGTACTCAAGCACTATTTTTTTATTTTTTATTTATTCATTTCAAATTAAAAACACAATAACAATTTCAAAACAAGAGAGTAAAATACAAAACATAAAATGAAAGGCAGCAGAAGAAGAAAAAAAAATCTTATTATTTCTGCCCCTTCTTAAACAAAATCAATTCAAACAATCAATTCAATCAATAATCATCTATAAATAATACAACAAAATTACATAACTGATCACAATTTTTCCATTTATATTTCGTTTGATATTAACTAACTTAAATCTATATGTATCTATTCAACAATATGTTCTTAATCTTTTTCTTAAATATAAACATTGACTTTGATTTTTTTACATCATCATCCAAACTATTCCAAAAACCCATTCCCTGTACTGAAGTAGACCTACCCCTTAAACTAGTCCTATACTTTGGTTTCACAAAAATATCTGTTCCCTTTAGATTATAACAACTTTTACTTTTAACAAAATATGCTTGAATGTTTTTTTTTCTTTTTTTTCGAGGGTAGTATATAATTCTGAGCTTTATACATAAGTAAGAGAATATTATAATCCACCAGAGCATAAAACTTAAGTAATTTCAATTTATAAAATAAAGTAGTTGTAGGATGACAGTAATGTTTTCTTGTTATAATTCTTATAGCTCTTTTCTGTAACACAAAAATAGGCTTAGTTATAGTTTTACAAGCTGTTCCCCAAACATCAACACAGTAAATTAAATGCGGGACTATAAAAGTATTGTACAGCAAACACAAAGCATTATCATTCAAAAGGTCCCTTACTTTATTCAGTACTGCCATAGACTTAGATATTTTAGTTTTTACAAAATTTATATGTTGTTTCCATGACAGTTTATCATCAATAATTACACCCAAAAACCTTACCTCATTCACTCTACATATCTCAACACCATCAATTTTGAAAGGAAAATCCACAGTTATCTTTTTTTTACTAAATATCATAAAATTAGTTTTAGCAACATTCAATGATAATTTGTTTAATTTAAATCAAGTTTGTATTTTAACAAACTCCATCTTCATCAATTCAAACATCTGTTCCAAGTTTTTACCCAAACAAAAGAATGTGGTATCATCAGCAAATAAAACACATTTGAGGATACCAGACACCTCAATTAAATAATTTACGTATAAAATAAACAACTTAGGTCCAAGTACTGAACCTGGAGGTACTCCACATGAGATACTGCATAGATTAGAGCTTACATCATCAATCTGTACAAACTGTTTTCTGTCCCTCAGATACTGTAACTAGATATCCACTGTAGAGCTGGACCTCTAATACCATATTGTTTCAATTTTTCAAGTAGAATGGTGTGGTCAATGGTATCAAATGCTTTTTTTAAATCAACAAATATGCTTATACAATGTTGTTTTTGATATATCGCTGTAGTAACTTGTTCTATCAACTCCACAAGAGCCAAGGATGTTGAATTTTTTTATCTAAAACCATACTGACTATTACTTAAAACATTATGTTTATCAAGAAATTTATCTAATCTGGTCACAAATAATTTTTCAAGAATTTTTGAAAATTGTGGCAACAAAGATATATCTAAAAAAGTTAAATCTGGTCCTCTGGACATTCAAAAAAACAAAACAAAGCAAAACAACAAAAAAATGTAGAAACGTTTCTTCTCTCATCCAAGAGACTTCCTCAGTCTGAGGTGCTGTATTCAGCTCAGTCTCTTAAATAGCACCTTCTCAGAGTGGATCAACCAGTTTGCTGCTGACAACCAAAACCAGCTGATAACATGCTCAAGAAGGACCATCAGCCTAACAATGGATCATTAGCACACTGATGGCTGTTTACTACTCACAGAGGGCTGAGTGATACTAGCAATCACAGCATTGTAAGAGGGGGACAGTTGAACACGGAGGCCTCCACCCTGTTTAACGATGGACGATTTATTTTCACAAAGATGGCCTCCTTTACTCCTCTCTCAAACCATTGTTCCTCTCTATCCAGGATGTGAACATCTTCATCCCTGAAAGAGTGACCGCTGGCCTGGAGATGAGTGTAGACCGCAGAGTCCTGGCCTGATGATGTTGATCTTCTGTGCTGGGCCATCCTT